GAGTTGCTGGTTTCAACAGGGACACATGGAAGACTGGATGAACCTTCATAGACTCGGGCAGTGCCAGCTCGTATGCCACCTCGTTGATCTTACAACGTTTGACCCAAAAAGGCCCCAAGAATTTGGGAGCCAATTTCTTTGAAGGGCAGGACATTTTTTAAATTTGCGGTGGACAACCAAACCTGGTCCTCTGGCCGCAAACTCAATTCCCCTCTTCTTTTCCTATCAAATGCCCTCTTATTGTCATCCTGGGTCCTTGCCATTGCTTCCTGCAATACCTTGCTATTGGCTGACAGAAAGGTCAACATATCCTGCGTGGGGCTGGGACTGCGACCTCCGGGATTAGATCTGGCAGGAATACAGGGTGGAACCCATAGTTCGCGAAAAACGGGGACTGTCTAGTAGCAGAGTGACTTGCATTGTTTTATATGCGAATTCCGCAAGCGGCAGGAGAGTAACCCAGTCATCTTGGAGGAAGTAACTGCTCTAGGGTCTGGTTTGTACGCTCCGTCTGGCCATTGGTCTGTGGGTGATAAGCTGAAGAGAACGATAACTTAATTCCCAGGGTTTCACATAGAGCTTTCCAGAACCTGGACGTAAACTGAACCCCTCTGTCAGATACAATATCCCTGGGAATTCCGTGGAGCCTTACAACTTCCTTAATAAACACACGTGCTGTCTCAAGGGCCGTAGGTGTGTCCTTTAGAGGTACAAAATGGGCCATTTTGGACAGGCGGTCGACAATCACGAAGATTGCTGTGTGGTCCTGAGAGGGTGGAAGTTCCACGATAAAATCAATGGAAATCATGGTCCATGGCCTGTCGGGTATGGGTAATGGCGCAAGAGACCCCAAGCTTTATTCCTAGTGGGTTTGTTTCTCTGACAAATGGGACAGGTCTTTACGTAGGTTTCGCACTCTCTGGCCATATTAGGCCACCAGAAAGTACGCTGCAGCAGCTCCAAGGTCTTACGTACCCCAAAGTGCCCGGCCATCGGGTGATTGTGGCAGTATCCTAATAACCAATGTACGAGCCTCCTCAGGGACCACAATCTGATCCTCCTTCCAGAAAAGTCCTTCCCTATTTAGTAAGGGGACACCTGGTGGACCTTGCATCCCTACGGACGCGGTCTGCAGTTGCGAATGGAGCTCCGATTGGAGGGCTAGGAAATTTCCTGGGGACAGGATAGTGTCTGGCTTGGGATTCTCTTCGGGATCCCCAAACATGCGGGACAGTGCGTCTGGTTTTGTGTTCTTAGACCCTGGCCTATAGGTTATGTGGAAAAAGAACCGTGAAAAGAACAGCGCCCACCTGGCTTGACGTGGCCTCAGACGTTTAGCTGTCCTCAGATATTCTAGGTTCTTATGATCCGTAAAAAAAATCAATATTGGGTGTACCGCTCCCTCTAACAAGTATCTCCATTCCTCTAGTGCCACCTTGATCGCCAAGAGCTCCCGATCCCCGATATCATAATTCCTTTTCCGCAGGAGTTAGTTTCCTGGAGAAGAAGCCACCGGGTGCATGAGCTCTTTGATGCCCTTCCTCTGGGACAGGATCGCCCCGACCGCATTCTCGGATGCGTCCACCTCCAAGATATATGGCAAGGACGAATCGGGGTGGCTCAAAATAGGAGCTGCCGTAAACAATTCCTTTAAGGCTTCGAAAGCCCTCTGTGCCTCAGGTGGTCCATTGGAAGCGAACCCCCTGCCTGGTCAGCTGGGTGATCGGGACACTAGGCCCGAAAAGTTCTTAATGAACTTCTGTAAAAGTTTGCGAAGCCGATGAAGCGTTGGACCGCTTTTTTGTCGGTGAGGCTGGCCAATCTAAAATGGCCGAAAACCTTTTGGGGATCCATGGCTATTCCCGTGGGAGAGATGGTTAGACCCAGAAACGAAATACTACTTTGTTCAAAGCAGCACTTGTCTGCCTTGCATATAAGCTGTGTTGGCGGAGCCGTTCTAACACGCGCCTCACGTGACCTCTATGGTCCTCCAAGGTTGGGGAAAAAACAAGGATATCGTCCAGGTATACGATGACGAAGATATCTAGGTAGTCCCTGAACACATCGTTTATGAAATGCTGGAAGGTGGCAGGGGCGTTGCATAGGCCGAAGGGCATAACCAAATATTCATAGTGTCCGAATCTGGTACGGAATGCTGTCTTCCACTCGTCCCCCTCTCTGATACGGACTAAATTATAGGCACCTCTCAAGTCTAGTTTAGTGAAGACAGATGCTGACTTCAGCCTCTGAAAGAGTTCGGGGACTAGTGGTAGCGGGTAACGGTTTCTTTACTGTGACTTTATTCAAGTCCCGGTAATCTACGCAGGGCCGGAGGGACTTGTCCTTTTTCTCCACAAAGAAAATGCCCGCCCCCGGCTGGTGACGTGGAGGGTCTCTGACGCGGAGTATAAGTCCCAGTCTGCCTTTTCACCAGGGCCCCTGATGGTGGGGATAGACTTGGTGCAAGACTGAAACCAGGTCGCGTTCCTGGGCACCCCCGGCGGCGGCAGAGGGGTCCCGCTGAGGGTATGTGCCCGGGTTGAGCCTGCTGTGAAGGGGACGACAGATCCTGATCCGAGCGGGATGGATGGGATGACAGATCCAAGCGGGATGGATGGGCGACTGTCAGGATAGGCGAGGTCAGACTAGCCGGGTCGGTATTGTGCGGGCAGCGTGGTACAGGGGGAGTAAGCGGAGAATGGTCGGGGTCACAAGCCAGGTTCAGTAGGTAGTGGGCAGCGTGGTACGAGGGTCAGGCAGAGGGATGGTCAGGAACGAGCCGGGGTCAGTGCAGGAGAAGGTCAGCATAAACAGAACAGGCAGAGTTTGGCAACAAGGAATCGTACTACAGGAACAGGAACAAGACCTTGCGGCAACTTGGAGATGCACAGGGCAGCTTTAAATAGAGCGCCCTGCTCTCCCATTGGTGCGGCCATGATCGCTACTGCGCATGCGCGGCCGCCGCCACGATCGCCGAGGACTCTGCGCTCGCCGGCTGGGACGGATCGGCAGTCTGCGCATGCGCGCACCACCGAGGACCCGGGATCCCTGACAGGCGGTATATGTGTCAATGTATATCCACCTTGTGGCGGTATATGTATTGCCAGTATATAAGATGCAAAAGCAATGGGCCACCTCTTCACCAGCTGCCCTCATGGGGGTCTAATAAATTCAATATATGATATATTGGCTCATGCATAGATCATGTTTCGAAATGTCCCACTACATAGGTGTTCATCATCAACCTAGATACAGCAGTTGCTCATAGATGCATCTAATTATAGCCACAATGTGGTGGTATGTACATGGCCATTGAATAAGATGCAGAGAAATGAATATCCACTTCAGCCCCTACCCCGCAGAGAGATCTAAAAAAAATCATGTGTGTTGAAATTAAGTTGCTTACAGACCATGGGGTGGTATTCTGCCAGTTCAGGCAATCATTATCCACCTGGTGATATGTTTGATGGGTCTGCTCTGTTGTGCTATGAAAAGTCCTTAGTCAGCACAGGATGCCATTAAGGAGGTGCATGGAACAGTCTTACCACTAAGCAGCCATCCATGTTGCAGTGATGTACAAGGCCTGTGTCAGGAATGGACTTGCCGGTAATGGTGGGACTCACCTGCCTTGTGGGCTGCAGTACCAGGGCTGGCCAGCGGGTGCTCCCAGCAATCAGAGACTCAACCCTGCAGTCAGCCAAACACCTGAAACTGCTTATGCAGGTGTATTTAAGTGATGGCCAGACCTGCAGTCTTTGCCTTGGTGTGTATGTTTTTCCTGGGCCCTGTATCTTGTAAACCTGCGTTCCTGTTCCTGTTTTGTTGCTGACCCTGCTTGATCCTGACCTCTGCTGACTTCTCCTGTGTTCCTTTCTGATCCCTGGCTTGTGACCCTGGCCATTCTCTCTGCCTGCTCCTCCTGTACCTACCTGCCCGATAGTTATCGACCCCGGCCTGCCTGATCACGTTGTGCTCTATATGTGTATGTACCTGTGTATCTGTATCAGTTTAGGTTTGGGTTTGTTTCACCTTGTATGTATTTGTGTTAGCTTGGGGTTTGGTGCACTGCGTTTATGTTTGTATTGTTAGTCTTTAATAAATTATATTGTTTATAACATATCTGAAGTCTGCGTTTCCCTCCGTCAGTCACAGACCTCTGGTCATACCCTGGAGCCCTGACATTACACCAAGGCCAATCCTGACCAGAAGTGGCTGCACAGGGAAGCCATCTTGGCTTGTTGCTGGGAAAGATGGATCTTGATGAGGTTGTGTATTTGTCGCTGCTGGTTTTTGATGACAGAGAATATGCTTATCAGGCTCTGAGGGAGTATACCCGGGATCAACTGCTAGAATGTATACGGATCGCTCATGTTCTAGTAGATCAGGGCACAGAGTTCTCTGAGGTGCAACCTTTGATTCAGGTTTGTGTAGAGTTGGCTTCATCTGGTGCCCCTGAAAGCAGGAATGACTTTTTGCCGCCATTTAGTGCAGACCAGGTAGAGTCCCTGGTATGGTTATTAGAGGAGGATGTGGATTGCTTCTTGGAGCATTATGCTGCATGTTCACCACAGGTATTAAGGGATTGTATAAACGCAGTGCAGTCTTTGGTCAGACAGGCTTTGTGTAAGCTCAGCTTTGTTCAACCCATACTGCAGACATGGACAGATTTGTTGCACCCAGCCTCAGTCAGCTTACAAAAACCCAGTACTGCTTCTAATCTATTTCCTCAAAGCTCTATTCCTGCATTCCCAACAGCACCTCCAGTTACAGCCCAGTATACCCTGCTATCTACCGCATGTCAGTACCCTGTTCCCACTCGCTGCACCTATCCTCCTGCCTTTAACCCTGTAAAGAAGCCCTCTGTAGCAACTGTTCCCTCCCCTGTTCCATCCTCCAGCTCCATCCTCCAGCTCTTCTCTGTCTCCAGCTGCTCCATTCGTTTGCAGACCTGCGTTTACTTGCAGTGCTCCAGTAGTTAAAACTAGAAAAAAGCGAAAATTCTTTCCAACCAGTACCATCCTGCCAGTATCCAAACCGGTCAGAGCCTGCCGTCTGAGAACCGGCCTTCCGTGGTTCAGCCTGGTGCCTCGGCACCCGCACTTCAGCCCGATGTCTTTACCCAGCCCGATGTCTTTACCCAGCCTGATGTCTGTACCCCAGCCTGATGTCTGTACCCAGCCTGATGAACTGATCCAGCCTATCATGCCTGGTGACCGATGCCCGCTGTCGAGCCAGATGATCCAACGCCTGATGACCCAGTGCCCGCTGTCATACCTGGTGACCCGATGCCCGCTGTCGAGCCAGACGATCCAATGCCTGATGACCCTGTGTGCCCGCTATCATGCCTGGTGACCCGATGCCCGCTGTCAAGCCAGACGATCCAGCGCCAGATGACCCGGTGCCCGCTGTCGATCCAGACGATCCGGTACCTGATGACCCAGTGCCTGCTGTCATGCCTGGTGACCCGATGCCCGCTGTCGAGCCAGACGATCCAGCGCCAGATGACCCGGTGCCTGCTGTCGAGCCAGACGATCCGGTACCTGATGACCCAGTGCCCGCTGTCGTGCCAATTGACTCAGAGCCCACTGTCGTGCCTGGTGACTTGGTGCCCACTGCCTTGCCAGATGACACGGTGCCCGCTGTCGAGCCAAGTGACCTGATGCCTGGTGACCCGATGCCCGCTGTCCAGCCAGACGATCCAATGTCTGACCCAGTGCCAGCGGTCATGCCAGTTGACTCAGAGCCCACTGTCGTGCCTGGTGACTCGGTGCCTGTCGCTCCGCCTGGGGGCCCGAGACCTGTCGCTCCGCCTGGGGGTCCGGCGCCCGCCGCTTCGCCTGGGGGCCCGAGACCTGTCGCTCCGCCTGGGGGTCCGGCGCACGCCGCTCCGCCTGGGGGCCCGAGACCTGTCGCTCCGCCTGGGGGTCCGGCGCCCCGCCGCTCCGCCTGGGGGGCCCGAGACCGACCTGTCGCTCCGCCTGGGGGGTCCGGCGCCCCCCGCTCCGCCTGGGGGCCCGAGACCTGTCGCTCCGCCTGGGGGCTCCGGCGCCTGTCGCTCCGCCTGGGGGCCCGAGACCTGTCGCTCCGCCTGGGGGCCCGAGACCTGTCGCTCCACCTGGGGGCCCGAGACCTGTCGCTCCGCCCGCCGCTCCGCCTGGGGGCCCGAGACCTGTCGCTCCGCCTGGGGGCCCGAGACCTGTCGCTCCGCCTGGGGGCCCGAGACCTGTCGCTCTGCCAGGTGGCCCGGTGCCTGCTGCTCGCCCGCTTGGTGGCCCGGTGCCTGCCTGCTGTCGCTTCCGCCTGGTGGTGCCGGTGCCTGCTGCTCCTGCCTGGTGGCCCGGTGCCTGCTGCTCCGCCTGGGGGCCCGATGCCTGTCGCCCCGCCTGGGGGGCAGGCCCGATGCCTGTCGCTCCGCCTGGGGGGGGCCCGATGCCTGTCGCCGCTCCGCCTGGGGGCCCGATGCCTGTCGCGCTCGGCGCCCGCCTGGGGGCCCGATGCCTGTCCGCCCCGCCTGGGGGCCCGATGCCTGCCCGCCCCGCCTGGGGGCCCGGCGCCTGTCGCCCCGCCTGGGGGCCCGGCGCCTGTCGCCCCGCCTGGGGGCCTGTCGCCCCGCCTGGGGGCCCGGCGCCTGTCGCACCGCCTGGGGGCCCGATGCCTGTCGCCCCGCCTGGTGGCCCGGTGCCTGGTGGCCCGGTGCCTGCTGCTGCTCCGCCTGGTGGCCCGGTGCCTGCTGCTCCGCCTGGTGGCCCGGTGCCTGCTGCTCTGCCCGTGGTGGCCCGGTGCCTGCTGCTCCCGCCTGGTGGCCCTGGTGCCTGCTGCTTCGCCTGGTGATCCGATGTGCCTCTGCCCGGAGTCCAGCCCGATGTGCCTGGTGCCCGGAGCCTGCCAGCCGATGTGCCCTCTGCCTGGAGTCCGCCTGGTGGCCCGCCTGCTGCTCTGCCAGCCCGGTGCCTGCTGCTCCGCTGGTGGCCCGATGTGCCTCTGCTTCGCCGGAGTCCAGCCCGATGTGCCTCTGCCCGAAGTCCAGCCCGATGTGCCTCTGCCCGGAGTCCAGCCCGATGTGCCTCTGCCCAGAGTCCAGCCCGATGTGCCTCTGCCCGGAGTCCAGCCCGATGTGCCGCTGCCCGGAGTCCAGCCCGATGTGCCGCTGCCCGGAGTCCAGCCCGATGTGCCGCTGCCCGGAGTCCAGCCCGATGTGCCGCTGCCCGGAGTCCAGCCCGATGTGCCAGTCTTTGATATCCCGCCAGTTACCAGACCCGGGCGGTGGAACATTTTGCCCAGCTAGGACTGTTTGGAGCGTCCTGAGGCCGCTCCTTGAGGGGGTGGTACTGTCAGGAATGGACTTGCCGGTAATGGTGGGACTCACCTGCCTTGTGGGCTGCAGTACCAGGGCTGGCCAGCGGGTGCTCCCAGCAATCAGAGACTCAACCCTGCAGCCAGCCAAACACCTGAAACTGCTTATGCAGGTGTATTTAAGTGATGGCCAGACCTGCAGTCTTTGCCTTGGTGTGTGTGTTTTTCCTGGGCCCTGTATCTTGTAAACCTGCGTTCCTGTTCCTGTTCCTGTCTTGTTGCTGACCCTGCTTGATCCTGACCTCTGCTGACTTCTCCTGTTCTGATCCCTGGCTTGTGACCCTGACCATTCTCTCTGCCTGCTCCTCCTGTACCCTACCTGCCCGATAGTTATCGACCCGGCCTGCCTGATCACGTTGTGCTCTATATGTGTATGTACCTGTGTATCTGTATCAGTTTAGGTTTGGGTTTGTTTCACCTTGTATGTATTTGTGTTAGCTTGGGGTTTGGTGCACTGCGTTTATGTTTGTATTGTTAGTCTTTAATAAATTATATTGTTTATAACATATCTGAAGTCTGCGTTTCCCTGCGTCAGTCACAGACGTCTGGTCATACCCTGGAGCCCTGACAGCCTGTGGTGTGGAAGATGACCATCAGATGTCCAAGTCGTGATGTATCAGCTGCCCTGTACAAGCATAGTGTGGACATCTGATGGTCATCTTCCACACTTTCAAAAGGAGGTCAGTTACTGTAGTCTTCATACTTCCTTAGTATAGGTTTAATTTAAAAAAATTTAAAAATCATCAGTATTTTCACCTTTTTAAAGTTTATAAAAATATGAATTAAAATGTATATTTATTTAGATTTTAAACGAAGAATGCACATTCTCTTTTAATGCTATGCTTTTTGCTGTCAATAAATTATTTTTCTGGTATTTGCACTTACAGAGAGCAACTATGCTGAGCAAAAACCCCAGCTACATCATCCACCGCCAGTTATTACAGCAGTTTGTACGTCATGAGATCACGCAACACCAGGTATACAACTTGATTTATACTTAAAAAATACTTTAGTACATTTATTAGGTTGGATACACACATTTAGCAAGCACAAGCAGGGGTGGACTGACCATTTGGAAACTCGGGCACTGCCCGAGGGCCGGGGTCAGTAGGGGGCCGCATGAGATGCCCCTGGTACCCTTTTTCATAGGCTTTTTTGAGTTTGGGCAAGGACACAGGGGCCCCATGATGCCCTATTGCCCGGGGGCCCCATGAGTTGTCAGTCTGCCCCTGAGCACAAGCCAATTAGAGACACAAAATCTCTGTGACAGGTTTACAGACCTGTGCATCTGTATTTCTGAGTAGTCAAGTGCAACAGGAGTAAGATAAGGAAGCGTACGCCGCTCAAAACCAGCCCTGGGAATCAGACGTCTAGGATGTATAGCCAAAACGTGTTGGAGCGTGGCAAGAGAGCAATGGCCGAGGCCGCTCCATACATCCTACACGTCTAGTCCAGTGGCTGTTTCCGAGCGGTGCCCACTCCCTTATCTTACTGTAGTTACTGGAATAGCTTTGGGATGCTGCTCCCTTCATTTTCTTTGCCAGCTTCAGAATGGCACCATCAAGTTTGATTCCCATTCACACAGTCAAGTGCAACAGTTTGCAAAATTCTGGACAAATGTATTACTCAACATGAGACAAATTTTCACAGATACAAAATTGAAGCAGAACTCCAGGCAAAAACTGTTCCTGATGCCAACATGGCAGCATACATGTGATATAGCTCTGCCCCTATATCCACCCACAGGACCTGTGTATATCTATAAAAGTCTGCCTGAGAGCAACCTCTTCCCATTCTGCTTTTTGTCCTAAAGATCTACACTGGCAAGACCTTGTTTTTTGCGATAAGCTCCTTTTGGCTGGTGACATTTTGGACAATTTCATGCTCCCAGCTTTGTGGGCACAGTTTGGGGAAGGCCCCTTCCTGTTCCAACATGATTGCACATCAGTGCACAAAGCACGGTCCAAAAAGACATAGATGAGCGAGTTTGGGGTGGAGGAACATGACTGGCCTGACATCAACCTGAAAGAACACCTTTTGGATGAATTAGAGCGGAGACTGTGAGCCTGGCCTTCTTGCCTGACATCAGTGCTTGACCTCACAAATGGTGTTCTGGAAGAATGGTCAAACA